ATGGATGGATGGATGGATGGATGGATGAATAAAAGATAGATTTGGCTCATTAATTGTTTATTCCCCCAGGCAAATCATTCGCAAAGACATACGAGGGAACAAACACAGTATCAACAAAGACCGGTTACCGGATAGGAGACGTGATAGGAGCCGCCATAGTGACCGGGGTTCTTGTACTCGTCTTATGTGCCGTCATGGCTTACATCGTCATTCGAAGAAGAAAAAACTTCGATGTTTCCAAAGCATTTGAAAAAAGTATACAAGAACCTTCTAATGAAAGTAAATACGAACGAACAAACGGGCTAGACAACCAAAGTAATAGTAGCAAGGACCGTAACAGTAGTGCTAAACTACAGCCTGTTGTTGTGGAAGCCAATAGCAGTCGGTCACTAAAGGACGTGTTCAAAAAACACAAGAAACACAGTCCAGAATCTGTATAGTTGCTACTGGCTACGGTGGCTTGAGCAGTGCAGAATATTATGTTGGAGATTATAGTTTTTGTTACTGGAAGGAATCTACAATGAATATTTCTTCGTACGTATGGCCACTCTCCTGATGGTGGTTCCAAGATACACATTTAACTTGTGGTCCGGAACGCCGCGTCAATCACGTTCCAAATACATCATTTTCTTTGGTTGTGTTTGGATGAAGTTAGTTAAGTTCAATTCCATACTTATCTCCATAGAAACGAGACCAATCAGCCAGACCTACTTTATGGCTGTTATCTCCATGGAATCAAATCACGTTTTATAAGCAATAATTTATGTTACGTTGTCTCCTGGAAAAAGAGACAATACATATTGCCAGAGTTTATTCCTCGAATTTTTGTATCCATAGAAACAAGTTACATTTTTTCGTTCAGAGATGTTTTCTTATTTTTGAGAACGATAATTTTTTATTGGATGGAACTTTCTATTTTAAGCTGAGGTTATCTCCATGGAAACAAAACCAACTTTTTATTGCCAGCATGCTGTTTAAGAATGTTTATTATTTCCATGGAAACCAGGAAACTTGTCTTATTGGCTAATCCAGTATGGAGACGTTTTTATCAACCTGACACAACTTTATTGCTAAGTTATTTTTAAAAGCACCAACTCACCTAGAAGATTTACGCCATAAAAATTTGTCATAAAAATATTGGTGCAAAGATGTACACCCATGGTGGTCCATGATCCACTGCGTGCCTAGACACTTGAACACTCTGCCAACAAGTGCTAGCTTATTTATTTGTGTACATATATAGTTATGTATATACGCAAGGTACAAGGCTTAGATAAATTATATGAAAAGATAGCAGACTGAAATGACGCTAAAGAAAACTAAGATACGGTTAATTGTCATTAGTGGTCTTGTCTAGCCAGACAGATTTCTCCAGCTACAAGCTTTTGTTTTATTCAAGTCAAGGCTATCGTTCAGGTACCCAAAGTGCTAAGGGTATATACTTAATATTGATTTTCTGGGTGTATCAGAGCAAAGTATGGTTAATTTCTAACCCATGTTGGGCTCCTAACGTTAATATGTTGGGGAAGATGAGACCCATGATCTTGGTGGAACACTACTGAATGGTGTTGAACTAGAAAATCACTGCAAAAACCAAGATGGCGCCCAACAAATTTTAATCGCCTTGTTTTATGAGGCAAATAAAGTGTTTACTTTTAATTTCAATCTTTTCATTTTATTTTATATAGAAAGATGTTATATAATGTTAAGATAATAAGCTATTTTTGCCTTGAAAAAAGCTGAAAGGTTTTTAATAAAACTAAGTGAATTATTACTATCTATGGGTGTATTGGGTGTGTAGACGTCAGTGTGGTAAAAAATAGTTTTCTAAGGCCACTTTGCCAATCTTTCACTTGAGCTCAAAATATAATCCGCATTAGAGTGAAGTCATTAAACCCGTGCAATAGATATTAGACTGATACACTTTAGTAGACCCTAATTCCATCGCGATTTTTTCCTTTTATATGTCGTCTATTTGACTATTACGCTTTGACTATTATTTCTATTTTCACGGGTTAAATGCCTTCACTCTATTCTGCCTCAAGGTAAGTTATTTTTTCTTTGGCGATTTTCCATTCTCGAACCCAGACTTTACCCATTTGTCTAATGGGTAGGGTCTGGGTGCGATGATGAAGTCTTCCTATGCAGGAAATCAAGTTATATTAAGTTTGTTACAAATTCGTTGTATGTTCCTTTCCCTATGAAGAAGACAAACGAGGCCTGAAAAGAATACGGAAAATCTGTCGAGAAAATCACAAAGAAACATTTCTAATTCTCAAAATTAATCGTTTACGAGTTTTTCCCCATCGCTTTTGTTGGTCAATTTTAATTTATCAAATCACCTCAGACCTAGGTCTTTAGAAAGACTAATTAGAGTTTTGAGTTTATTAATATCTCCTTTTAACACAGTAAGTAATTATTTTATCGTTTTTGCAAGGCTTGAGCCCTCATACTTTGTATCTTATTGAGCAGCGGTTGGTTATTTTGACATTTCTTTGATATTAGTTCCAAGGCCTCCTCGTTCTTTTGACTCAAAGCTACTTCTGCTGCTTCTACGATTTTTCTGTAAACAAGGTATGAATTTGTGAGTAAGTTGGAAAACTGGTAATGAAATTTACACGCATGGAATTGTGGATCCTTATTTAGGAACACGTTAGATAGTCCCCTTCACAGTTCCCTGCGCCATCTCGTATAAGGTAACCGTGCCTGTGCATCGAAGCGAGCACGACGGTGACATTGAAAAAATGATGGAATAAAGTGAATAATTGTCCAAGGTGTTAAAAAGGCCTCTATTATTCCAAGCTCACCGTTGTCCTTGAGCTCGCTTCGATGCACAGGTATCTTTCAAGATCGCGCAGGGTACTGCGAAGGGAACTATTGAATAATGACTTACCCTAACTTCAAGTAATAATGGACTTTGTTTTCTGGTAAGACTCTGGTCAAGTACTTCTCTGCTTCGATGCGACTGTTGAACTCCAAGCAAGCATCAACGAATGGCTGCAGACACGAAGAATTAATGAAAATATAGTTCTATTTTATCTCAGATCGCACAAGTAGCGTCCACGTTAAGGTGGCTGCCTACTTTTGAACGTTCGAATTGAGCCCACGATGAGCGCGCGCTCAAAAACCGCTGA